ATTCCTGTCCAGCCTGCTGCGCATGGACCGCGATGTGACCGAAGTGGGCATCGTGTCCGACGCGCTGTCGCGCTTCACGATCGTGTCCGTCGTCGCCGACGCCGTCTCCCCTGCGGGGGCCCAGCTGTCGGACGACTCGGTGAGCAGCGTAGCCTCCGGCATGACCCCGACCGACGAGGCAAAGTTTATCGTCGAGTTCCTGCGTCAAAAAACTTTCGACAAACACGAAAACCTTTCGTTCCTGTGGCAGCAGGTATGCACGCAGCAACGCGATCGACGCTGGCGAGTAATTTTAGTCGTCAGAGCGACAAAGCCTGATAATCAGAAGTAAGTCACTCAACCCGATGCTTCCTCGTTACTTTAGCGAGGATGCGCGTTTTCAGCCGCGAGCTCGTCGAGTACGCCGACCGTCACTACGCGTTACCGTATTTGGCGACAGCGGTTAGTTGACGAACCTCGAAAGCACTTGTTTGTGTACGGTAACAGAGACGCGGCATCTACAATATCCGCTCCTTAACTCGCGAAGGGCTCGTTCTCTTGCGATGCCTTTTTCTAGACGTCTGCTCGCAGCTGATTCATAGTTTGTGTGCGTGTTGTTGAGATTATCACCTTGGGCCGTTTTCATCAGTGGAGCGTTTCTGGTTTGTGATGTCCGCTGTGTTGGCAGCCTTTCAACGCTATTACTGTAAAACACTGATTACTGTATCGCAGTAGGAAATGTCGTTTCCGAAAGCAGGCCCGACGTGACTGTACGCTGTACTGTCATTTTGCATGCCGGCCTCTTGGACCACGTGTGCTGTGTTTCGGCTCCCACATTAGAAGCTCACTGATTGAAGTAAATGTTGTATTCTCTAACAGAACCAGCTCCCCTTTCTCAATCTCCACCTCTACCAGTGTCACGTGTGCTCGGAAGAAAGTACAGCCATTCCATACACAGTCGTCCTTCCATTAAGTTATGTTTATGCGTTGAAGCAAACGTTGTTGTACGCAATTCACTCTTCGTTTTTGCTCCATCGCTATGACAGTTGTGTCCGTGGCGTACAACACTGACCTGACAGAAGAAAGGGACATGCTGATTTTTGTGGAGCGATATACTACAATTATAGCGAAACTATTGTATAGCTTTCCGAAAACTCTCGAGGCAAGTGCGACCCTTCGATTCAACTCTGGCTGGATGGTGTCATTGTCGAAGATAATGCAATTGAGATGCCTGACTTGGTTCTAAATTGTTTTACTTCCCTGTTCCACTTGTAAATCAACTGTGTTGAATGGGTTCCTCATTTGACCTCTGGACGTTGAGGCACGGATCGACTTTCAACGCTGTGTCACATACGGGATGATGTCAGGTGACAGAACTCGTTCTCCGTACTGTTTATCGGAACATTGTCACTTGCGTACTCCAGGTCAACAAGATATCTAGCCGGATATCATGCACTGTGCCTTCTTCTTGAATGGGACCTTCGTTTTTGTGGGGTTTGGCCCCGTTTTCAGATCGATGTTAAATAGCGGTGGTTAAAGTACATCTGTCTGGGGAGCTTTACGGTTAATGGCTATCCTTCGACTTCGTCAGCGGACATGGTTCCTGCATACGTCTCTTCCAAAATGGAAACAACGTGCTCGTGATCTCATGGAATTTCAATAGTTTGCACATCTTGGGACGATGTTGTTCATCAAATGGGGCGTTCACTTGAAAGAAACGCAAATCAAGGCAGCTGAAATCGTCGGTATTGTTCAATGGTCCTACGGAGTGAAAGTTTTGTTACGGCAGCAGTGTCCAGTCCGGTAGCGTGCTTGATTTTTGAGAAGTCCGTTGTTAGCTGCTAGCCTCCTAGTCCTTTGCACAATAATGCAACTTTGCCGTTTGCCTCCTGTTGGCTAACCGAAACTGCGTTCAATCCCGAACCCGTGCTCAGTACCTTTTGGCTAGCTAAGTTTGTTGACGAAACGGCGTTCATTAGTTACTCCCTGAGGTGTTGCGTTCTGAGTCACGTGATTTGCGGTGTTTATGACGACATAAGGAAGCTGAGGTGATACGGTGTTGAGTCCGTACGCCTGACAACTATTCAGTTGATTTTGAACGCTGCTTTGAAGACATCACTTGAATGCTTCGTTCTGGCGCAAGTTCTTGATCACGAGGGTCTGGCGAGGGTTTATTTACTTCGCATTTAGTTGCTGTACAACATGTTCGCGACGTTTCAGATTGTACATCATCCGTCTTCAGCAGACACTGCTGTCATAATCACAATGCGCTCAGACGATTCAGACGAAAACAGCGTCAGTTCAATTATTTGTGCGTACTTTGCATGAGGTCTGAATCTGGAGGGATTGAGTACAGTAGCGAAACGTCCTCGCTTGCGATTACGTAATTATTGTACTTCGAAAGCCGAGCTCGACTACCTCGCCATCGTGCCACCTTGCCACAGCTCATGTACATATTTAGCCAGCTCTGTGGCGTGTCCGGATCGGTCGACCACGTTTCGCCGATGCTGTCCGCCTTCTGCGTGACGGATCGTTTTCTCGACTAGCGAATGAATCGATGCTCTCGAAGTTGGATAGCATGATTGCAGACAAGCAGTTCGTGTGACAGCGACAGATTGGGATACGCGAAACTTCAAAATCCATTACTGGTGGCGGGCTGGACGAAAACCGACAGTTGTACAATCACTCAGTTATTAGCTTATGTGACTCGTCTCTTTGCCAGCACATTGACAATTCGTTGGTACTTGAAAATAAGCAATATTTTTCAAAATATATACAGTTAAGCTTGTAGACGTATTTCATGCCGAAAGCAGTGCTCATGTACACTTTCGATACGTCTGCGGTCCTTAAGCGCCACCAGGCTCATCTTGACAGCTTCCAGCGGTGCTGTCGACGAAGTATCTTCGAAATGCGACCGTACCATGGGGTCTATGATAAGCAGGTGATGACGACCAGTGGTCTGGGAAAACTATTAGATGAACTCGGATGTCGGCGTTTTGCTTGGTGTGATAAAACGACACAAAATGAAAATGGAAATACTACCCAAATTGTTCTCCTTTGGCAGTGGAAGCTGTGCATTGGCCATATATGCGTTGGAGAATAATGCAAAATTGGAAACACCCGGTTGATGCAGACCTACTTGCGAAGAGGTATATGAACCTTAGCCGCAGCAGCAAGCTTTGCCAGTTTGAAGGTGAATGTGAAGTACCATTCCTAACGTTCAGACATCGTAAAGCTGGATTACTCTGCTGTTGACGTCCTATTAACCTCAGACGATTATGATTAAACAACAACAACAACATGTTTCATGTTTCATGTAAAATAGCCAGGCATTGCACGACGTCTTTGTAAGTTTGGTTATGAATGACTGAACAATTAGAGC